ATTTCGTGATAATAAAAAGATAAAAAAAATAGGTTACAAAATTATGTATTTTGATCTAATATAAATTAAAATTTAAATTTTTTTAATTTTATATGGTAATAAATTTTTAAAAATGATAAATTATTATATTTTTCATTTGGAATAATTATTTGAAACTAATAGTATTATAATTTTGATTATATCATTTATGAAAATATTATATTCTAAATTATTTAGTATTAAACAAGTTTTTAATTTTTTTAGAACTTTCTATATTATATAATATTTGTATATTTTTTATACATGTATATACATTATAAATATTTATATATATAAAAGATTGAATAAATATATATATATATATATATCATTAAATATGTGCGAATATATATATGTATACATATATTTATCTATATACACATATATTTATATATATAATTTATATTTTAATCGGGTTTACGGGTCGGGTCGGACCGGTCCGGCCCGAATCCGCTTTTGGCCCGTAATTTTTCGGGTCGGGTCGGCCCGGCCTGAAGAACGAACGGGCCTTGATTTGTGAAGCCCGAGCCCGTAAATTTTACGGACGGGTTCGGGTCGGATATCGGATCTCGGGCTTTTTTAACACCCCTAGTTAAGAGTGTAGACCAATTAAACCATTTAGTCCACCAAGAATACCACGTCAACGGATTGACTCATTCAACCCATTTGATGTGATAGTTTTGGTTCGATTTATAACTGAATCGAACCAAATAATACAAATCGAATTAGAATGAGTATTTTTTTTCTTTAAAACCAGAATCCAAACTGAATATTAGAATATCTGTAAAAGTGATTTTTTACGGGATGAATGTTTTATCAATAAAATCGAAACGGATTGAGTCGAATATAAATATCGAATGGATATAATTTTTTTTTTTATAAAAATGAGTATTGAAAAACATATAGAAGTAGAATTTACTAATGATAGATATTTATATTTCTCTTTGTTTTGCAGATAAAGAAGATGGTGATTTACGCGGCTGAAGAAGCCTTCAAAGAACTCGAGACATTGTTGCGAGATCCTCCTGTCCAAATTTACTCTATGGAAAGGTCCTGACTGATTTCAACAAGAATCTTTCCTCATTCAGATAGTTGGTTTTATAAGACAGTGTTGTCATCTCTAGTTTTCACTTGATACAGATTTGTGGTTAGTTCGAAAAGATAATTACAGTTTTGGTTTTTATGTTTTTTGGATCGTAAGAAATAAAGTTCCAAACACATATTAAGTTTGAGGAAACATTCTAAATAAAACATATGAATTTGTTCAAATTTTATAGGCGAATATATAATATAATACAGATAAACTTAAGACTAAAAAATGATAAAAATGAAAAGTAAAAATATATACATATATGTATATATATACATAATACATATATATATATATCAATATACATATATACTAATAGAGAAAAAATGTAATCGCATATAAATACCTGAACTTTTACAAAATTCTCAAATAAATAACTGAATTATAAAACTCTCAAATCAATACATGAATTTTTCAAAAATTCCATATAAATACCCAAACTTTTAAAAAACTTCCAAATACAACAATTTTTGTTGACGGCGTTAATCGACGAAGTGATCAGATTCCGTTATAAATTAAACGGCGGTAATAGAATTTGGTTGTATTTGGAAGTTTTTTAATTTTTTTTTTGTTTAATGTGAGTGTATATTTAACAAAAACCAGAGTTTGTTACAATCATGCCATTGGTGCATGTAAACAAAATAAAACAAGATAAAACAAGGAATTCCCATCACAAAATGGTCAAAATAAAGAGGACATTACAAGAAACCTCGATCAGTCTAGATTAGTCGTGTTTTGGCGCATAAGAAAATATCAATTCTCCAACAATGAGCATGTTCTTCCATGGTGCTGCAACCTGAGATAGAGTATAACATTTCGTACTGCCTTGTCGAGTTTCCATCGATGATCTCGGCAAAATTTGACTCATTCTTGAATAAGCGGTTGTTCCTCTCCTGCCAAATAACGTGAATTGTCGCCTGAAAGAGGAGCTTGACAATGGTTAGTCGATCCTTTGTTGTGTTGTGTGAGTTATTCTTGATCCACGCAATGCATGCATTCAGCTCGGTTGGCGGCTTTGGCCAGCATCTCGCCGTAAAAGCAGACCATAGAGCAACACTGTGAGGACAATGTAGGAAAAGGTGTTGGTGAGTTTCTTCCTTATTCCCGCAAAGGCAACAAATTGGGTCGACATTCATTCCCCATCGTATGAGCCTGTCTCGCGTCGGTAATCTGTCTTGGAGAACCGGCCACAACAGAAAAGAGTATCGTGGTACAGATTCTCTAAACCAAATCACTGAATACCATGTGATACGGTGTACCGAGTCTAGAATTTATTATCCAATTCACAACTCATCGCAAGGATACGGATCTTCGTAACACGGGGTCGAACGCAAGGACCGGTAGCTAAATCTAAACCCTAATCGAAACCAAATCAAAGCAAGCAAGTGAAAGTGATGATGGAAGTATATGGAATGAATAGAAAATAAGGAAGCAAAGCAATAAAAACGTGTAAACTAGCAAGCAAGGATGACCGTGGGTGTCGGGACCGTATTCGAGTGTATGGGTATATGCTAAGCATGCGAGAATCACGATAATGAATTTGTATTCAGGATCGTCAAGCAACAAAGATAGAGAAATCACCTCCCGACATATAACCCACTATCTAAAGTTCTCTAAATCCATATCCCTATATGATTTATCAAACTAGATGTATGAAGAACGCTATCATCAACCCTAGATCGATCAAACCATATTTCTATGTGAGTAATACGATCTATTCTATCGATTTTGATCTGAAACTAAACTCATATTCCTATGTAGTTCAGAATCTAAAACAATTGATCACTGAGTCAGCAAACACCAATTGACATAAAGCGCAAATCGATAAAACCGAAACAAATCCAAATCGTAACCAAGTTAGGGTTCAAACATACCCAAAACACAAACAAATCTCTAACCACAGACGTGGATCTACTCACGGTTCATGAAAAACAATAAAAAGCTCATAGAAAAAGAGATGAAAGAAGGGACAGAAAAGTTCATGTCGATGTTTAGTCTTCACGATCAAATCCTCCTTCTTCTTCCCGAAATCCCATGAACTTCTATTCTTCTCTCACCAAAAGCTCTCCAAAAGTTTGTATCTAAGTATTCTCTAAGACTCTAGGACATGTTTTGTCATTTTTATAACCCTCGGGTGGCTCCCAAGAGTCATTCTTTCATTTAAACTCTTAAAATCGCGAATTAAGATTTTTCTGGGTTTTGACTCGACCGAGTCAAAGTGTTGACTCGACCGAGTCAAAGTGTTGACTCGGACCGAGTCAAGTCGGGCCCATCTGACTCGGACTCTTCACGAATTTGCTCATAACTTTCTGCTCCGGTGTCAGATTTGCGTGATTTTGGCGTCTATACGAAGCTCTTGAAATGCTCTTTTCAATGGTACAAGTACGATTTGGACTTCTATAGAGAGAGTTATTGATTTATAATACGTGTACATCTTCTGAACTTCACCTCTAATGCTCCAAAAATGCTCTTTTTGAGTCCAATCACCTCCGAAACCTGTAATTCTGTAAAACTAAAGCAAAACCGAGTTTCGTGTTCTAACACACTTAGAATGCCTATGAATGCATGTGATTATCCTGTAAAACCTAGACAAACTCTCATAAAAGTATAGAGAAAAATAAGAGTTATCACCATGGCACACGTTCTCGCGGTGACCTAAGCTGCCACCATGTCTTCGCATTTGAGAAATCTGGCTTGTATATATTGTTATCTTGCTTCCACAATGGTATGTCCGCACCTTTATCATCCGTTGGTAGCTCTCTATCCATAGCTGCAACTGAATGCTTTGAATGGCATCCATTCGAGCACCAGGAAGCCGCCATGAAGTTCCCACAACTGCATCTCGAACTGTGGTTTGTCTAGGTATACGCATCAACCTCATACCAAGCTCCCCGACAAGGTTTATGAAGGGGCCAAGGCTTGTCCAGTCGTCCAACCAAAAGTGAGTGTTTTTCCTGTCATTAACCTGCATCTTAATGAATTTCCGGGCCTCGTCTCTTATTCCCAACAACTTTCTAAAATTCCATGATGTAGTCGAACTCGGCTTCAAGTCCCAAAAGCTTTTATTCCTCATTACATTCTCATGCAACACCCAAAGAGAACCAGATTTGCTAAAAAGGAGCCAAACCTGCGTGAGTTTGAAGGCGTTGTTGTAATCTACCAGCTTGCGTAAACCAAGACCTCCCTCTTTCTTCGGTAGGCAAATTGTTTCCCAGGATACACGGGACGGAGCCTTGCTTCTGATATCGGATTTCCATAAGAAAGAGGTACAAATGTTGTCAACTTTCTTAAGGAAATGTTTTGGCAGCATAAAAATTGAGCTCCAAGAATTTACAAGTCCATAGATGACTGAACTGATAAGCTAAATCTTTCCAGCTTGGGAGAGGAATTTAGTTGTCCAGATTCTGACCTTGCCTTCAATTTTGTCCAACAACGGTTGGTAATCTTGCTTCGACAGTTTACACGGGCTTAGCGGGACGCCAAGGTAACAGACCGGCAATGATCCCAGCTTGATTCCTATTAGTGAAGATAACTCTTCCTTATGTTGATCGGTAACTCCAGCCAGAAACAACTCGGACTTGTCTAGATTAATAGTCATACCTGAAAATAAACCGAAGGAGCGGAGTATGTGATGTTGGTTTAGTGCTCTATGATGTACTGTTTATGAACTTTATTTAGATACATTTGATGTATTGATACTTTCTATGGTTTATGAGAGTATTTGATTCATTACATGTTCTTGCATACTAGATGTATTATGAAATCCATGTATCATTATGAATGATACTTAACTCCCTGGTCATGTGTCATTATGGGAATGATGACATAATAAGATTAGTATGATGTGTGATTGATGATCACATAGATGATCATAGGTATTGGATACGATCACAATCATAGGTATTCGTTGGAGAACGGAATACTGGATTGACCCGCAGGAGATTGTCACATGGACTAGCGTCATGACTTGAATCTCATATGACGGTTCCATGATTGGATCCTAAGTCCTGAGATATCTACGGAATCCAACATGAGGAGTTGTGTACTTTGATTACGTCAAACGTCCTGCGTAACAGGAGGACTATAAAGGCATGTATCAGGTACGAAACGAATCATGTGCTGGATTATAGATAGTCAAGAC